GCGTTTCAGATTATTTCTTAAAATTCCAAACAATCCGCCATGAGGACGAGTTTTTCGCGGACATGCCGCCATTGTTGGGTACTCCCCCTCCCCCCTTCGCTTGGATCGCACTCAAAAAAATTGTGTAGCTTCAATAAACTGTACCCTACAACTGGCTAAAATTTTATTCCCACACCTACTATACTTTCCAAGAAATAAATTCCAGAAAAAAATCAGGTTTTGGGCGCCAATAAGGTGCAAGCCTGCCTTAATACAGTCCACTAATTTTTGTATTGCAATGTTTTTGAGAATAAATAAAATAAATTGTAATTAAAACATACACCTAATCTTGGCGGCCCTTGACAGAATGTTCAGACGAACACTAATAAAAATAAAATATAATACTTTATGAGCTCTGTGCACGTCATGTGACAATTGTAAATCGACCCAAAGCCATAAACTATGATCTGTAATTTTAAACCCTACAAGGGAGCGGTGTTAACATTTTTGAATCTGTAAGTGCAGGCCACTTGAGCCTAACAGAAGATAATCACTTGAGATGTTTCTCACACTGCCCTAAGGGTTTCTGTGCGGGGGGCAAATGATAACTCTCCCGCTCAGGCAGACGCGGCCTCTGCGTAGGCCACAGATAAGACCAGAATAATATTTTCATGTTAATTTCCTAAGCTATTAAAGAACACATAAACCCAAAAAAGGCTCCTGGTCACGATTTTATTTCTCCAAAAATGATAATTGAATTACCTGCATGCGCAGTCAGATGCATCGCATTTATATTTAACTCAATATTGAAATGGGGCTACTTTCCTGACCAATGGAAAAAGTCTGTCATTACAATGATCCCGAAGCCAGGAAAAGACAAATCCCAGCCTTCCTCGTACCGGCCCATCAGTCTGCTCCCATGTCTATCAAAGCTATTTGAAAAACTGCTTCTTGTTCATCTAGTAACACATCTTCAAAACAACAGAACGATCCCTCTGCACCAATTCGGATTTAGGGAAAAGCATGGAACTATCGAACAGGTAAACCGCTTAACATCTGAAATTCGCACGGCTTTCGAACACAAGCAATATTGCAGTGCCTTATTTCTGGACGTATCACAGGCATTTGATCGCGTCTGGATCGACGGTCTGGTATACAAAATCAAAACCCTCCTACCGGAAAACACTCACAAGTTGCTTGAGTCATACCTCAGAAACAGAGTTTTCACCGTGAGATGTAAAACCTTTACTTCAACCATCCGTAACATCGAAGCTGGAGTACCCCAAGGAAGTGTGCTTGGACCAATCTTGTACATCCTTTACACGGCAGACATTCCAACAAGCCGCCAGACCCTCATCTCAACCTTTGCTGACGACACTGCCATTGTCAGCCGCTCGAAATGCCCAAAAACAGCTACAGCCCATTTAAAAGAACACCTGGTAGCTGTAGAAAAATGGCTCGCAGACTGGCGTATCAAAGTCAATGAGCAAAAGTGTAAGCACATTACATTTTCACTAAACTTGTCGATATGCCCACCACTGACGCTAAACAACAAGCCGGTTCCACAAGCAGACGAAGTCACCTATCTCGGCATACACCTAGACAGGAGGCTTACCTGGAGAAAGCATATAGAAGCAAAGAAGACCCATTTAAAACTAAAGGCCAGCAGCCTTCACTGGCTCATGAACTACCGCTCCCCCCTTCCACTCGAATATAAAGTACTACTGTATAACTCGTGCTTAAAGCCGATCTGGACCTACGGTTCCGAGCTCTGGGGAAACGCAAGCAGCAGCAATATAGAAATTATTCAAAGAGTACAATCAAAGACCCTACGAACAATAACTGGAGCCCCCTGGTACATCCGCAATGCAAACATCCAGAGAGACCTGGATATAAATCCCGTAAAAGAAGAAATTGTTTCCAGAAAAATTAAATATGAAGCCAGATTATCAAATCACCCAAACCTGCTTGCCAGACAACTCAACCGGCTAAGCTATCATTCCCGTCTACAGCGGAATGATTTCCCATCCCTTTTTCAATAACATAAGTTAACGTAACATAGATTAAGATTTGAAAACTTATTGTTAGTCTCTTAAGTAATAGAGAAGATCCAATAAATAAGAATAAAGTATAAAAAAAAAAAAAAAAAAAAAAAATTCCTAAGCAGGGACTTGAGTTTTAATACAGAACTTAACTGAAAAGGTTGTTTTATTTAATTCATCCCTTTCACCATATAACTGATTGATCGAAAATGCCATAGGATTTTCTATGGGTTTTATTTTTGGCCAATCAATCCGACCTACTAAATTTCATAAGGGTCGGCCGACTATATCCTATATAATAATTTTAATACCGTTACTGTCACTTTCTTCCATTATAAAGGAGACTGAAAAGGGTAGATATGTCAAATTCAAAAGAAGTATGAGTATTAAGAATGCATTATATGAATAATTTTGGAGAATATAATTTACAGAATATTCTGCAAGGGTATATCAACTTCGGCTCCGCTCGAAGATAGCTTTCCTTTCTTGTTTTATTTAAATTTGAAATTAATTAAATAAGTGGATGCTATTTTAAGAGAACATTAAATATCAAATTAAATACCAACAAGAAAGGAAGCAAACTTCGGACATTAAAGATCAAATTAAATACCAACAAGAATGGAAGCAAACTTCGGCAAGCCGAAGCTTATATACCCTTGCAGCTATTACAAATCGACTACATTTCAATTGTTATGCCTATATTACTAAAAACAATGAAGCTATGTCAATTTTGCGCTGCATTTTGCCATCGTTTCTATGGCAGCTACATGGTATTGTTGTCCGATTTTAATTTAATAAAAAACATCATTCCATAATATTTAAATATTACCAAATCCCAAAGAACAACAAAAAAAAATTTTTTTTTAAAACAAAGTTATAATTTTTTTGACTTGTTTTTTCCGATTGTTCCTATAGGAGCTATATGATATAGTCGCCCGATCCGGCTCGTTCCGACTTATATACTATCTGCAATAGAAAGACAACTTTTGGGAAAGTTTCAAGCAGATAGCTTTAAAACTGAGAGACTAGTTTGCGTACAAACGGACGGACGGACAGACGGACATGGCTAGATCGACTCTCCGGTGATGCTGATCAAGAATATATATACTTTATAGGTTCGGAAATGTATCCTTCACTGCTTTGCAAACTTTTGACTGAAATTATAATACCCTCTGCAATGGTTTTAAACACATAAAAAACTCTCCAGATTGTGTAACTCCTAAGGGTCTCTTGGTTGAATTTAAAATCGACCGTCCCGAAAACCTATGTACAAATAGCACCGACGCACCGTGGCGGGATTTAAATACATAACTTTAAGGCCGCGGAATAATTTAGATGGATTATTATAGATAAATATTCAACCTATAAATTAATGTTGAAAGCTGAATATATGTAAGAAACTAAGTAGAAACATTCTTATTAATAATCAAAATTTGAGGAAAAAATTAAATGTTTATATTATTTTTTATGACTTTTTAAAATAACTAAAAAAATGTTTTTTTTTTAAATTGATGTACTTTTTACTCTTCTCGATTTATGCCGCAGAGAGTAAATAAGTGGAGAGGAATACAACATATTGAAAAATTACTCATTTTGCCTTTTCCTTGATGCTTTAAACGTTTATTATTCTATTTTTTGCAAAATTTTATCTAGGGATTCTTTTTCTCCTTTGGGAAGCTCTCCTATTGGCAAGGACTGTATCGATTATCTATATATCTCTTCTATGCGTCAATATTTTATGGAGTTTTAGGGGTAGTTTCTTTTGTAATTTGTCTTAAAGTTATGCAGTTTTTGAAGCTTATTTTCCATCATTTTTAACGAATTTTAATGAATACAATATATACGTTTACTTTACGAGTAACGGGTAAATCGTGTGTCAAGGGTTTCCATGGATACAATAAAAGTTAATTTCAGAATGCCGGCCTTACTCAGATTGGTTTACAACGAATACGGTAAATTTCTGAGTTGCGGACACAACAGTCTGACAACTTTTAACTTTAAAAGTCTTGTGAAAAAGGGGTAAAAAAAAGAAAAATAGATACAACTAGCCAAATCTATCCAGTAACTTCGTAAAAATAACTGAATTTTTTTAAACTTCCATAAATATTGAATACGTGCTTATGAGAAATAAACATATAAATAAAATAATGATAAATAGGTCTGCAGTTATTTCATGAAACGACTATAAATTTTGTAATCAATTTTAGAGAACTTTTTTCACACATACTTTGTGATTGGATGAAATGGCTTTCGCATAAACAAGTCATATTCATTTGATTTTAATAAAGCTTAAGATTTTGTTTCTATAGTGGATTAAAGACATTATATTATTATAATAATTATTATAATTATATAATTATTATTATATATTATAATTATTAGCTCGAAAACGGTGTATAAAACAGACGAACATGGCTATATCAACTTACTCAGCGATGCTGACTGTCAACTTCACTTTGTTATAATCTACCAAAATTGTAATACTCTCTTGAAAACTAAGGACTTAGAGAGAGCCATCGTTAATTGCGAAGAGGACTGAAAATAGCCCAGGGACGTATCATTAAATTAATTGGGTATTCTAAAGCCTTTAATAGTTGAAAATGTTGAAGTTTTGTATAGCACTAATAATGTCTTTAAATAATGCAGTATATTACTTGCAGTATATTTGTTTAAATGCCAAGATGGACTGCGGGCATAACTGGCTGTAGGTTATACAATAAAGCTAATTACCTAATTACGACCTTAAAGTTTAACTAATCTGTTAAGAACATTGTAAGTTCAGCAGAATATAAAAAGATACCAATACTGAGATACAGTGTCCCAGTGTAGAACAATATTTTAGTTCTGCTATAAAATATTTTCATAGCTACTGTTTTGGTTGTTCTGTGTCACCCGAATTTAAACTGGGAATTCGGTTGGCGGGATTTCATTACATTTATTTATTCCACTGGCTTACTGTTCGTTATTTATTTTACTTACCGGATCTTTGCTTGAAATATAAATCTTAGTCTAGGACAATATGTAAAAACAATAAATTTATTAGCTATACTTGCATTGGTTAATTGTACTGTTTTTTTAAACTTACCGGAGAAATCTGGCTTTTCTCAGTTGTTGAGATAAGACTGGTGGTGCTTGATTTAGAAGTGCCGTCATTTTGGCAAGTTCTGAAAATTATAAAAGGTCCGTGTGAATTTTTTAAGAAAAAAGATGACTAAAAGACAACATTTTATTCTTTAAACTGCCTAATCAAATTTCACTTAATATATTTTTACGCTTCGAACGCTTTACACCAATATAAAAGTCATCTATGTTTTTCTATTTGAACATGTAGTTAGGAAAAAAAGTGATAGAAATTTATTTATTTTACTAAAAATGTATTCCCCTTCTAATTGAGGTAGCAAAAGTCAAAACTGCCAGATTACTAAAAAAAAACTGATTTAGGAATTAAATTTAAAAATAAAAATCGAACAATATTTAAACAATTTTATTTTGTGTTTTCTAAAAAAAAGAAAACAATTATTTATAAATAAAGAAATATGTTGCACTTATGTTTTGTTTATTAAAGGTCATATTCTTAATTGGTATTAAAAATGGGGCATTTCTGGCACTAACTAAAAAAAAACCGAAACGAACTAAGTGGCACTAATGGAGTGCCCGCTATTTGATACTTAAAATAAAATGAGACTTCTGTGGCACCCCTAATAATTAAAATCCTGGATCACGAGCACTTCTGCGTGCTATCGGGGCTCCACGAGGAAACGCAAAAGCGTTTCTAAGCTTAAAGTGCAAACCAAGACTAGCCAATGTTTATTTACATAAATGTTATCTGCTGATAGAAAAGGAAGAAAGGCAAGGCATAGAATACATCCTATGCAGTTGCCTAAGGAATTCACCTCAAAAGAGCGCGAGAGAGTAGTAAAACGAACGCTTCAAACGGAACGCAAAGCCCACCTCAGCGACTGCGGGGACTTCGAAAATGGAGAGCGAGGGAGAATATCAGAAAGCCAACGAGCCAGAGCGGAGGAGCTGCTGCCGACAAACGCAGACCACGAAGGGCATCGAAAAGCGAACGTGTTAAAGCGGGGGAGTTACTGTTGCCAAATGGAGAAAAGATAGAGGTTTCATTTGCTCTGCCCGCACCTCTGCCAAAGCTCTGCTTAGAGCCATTTTCGAAGCTGTCTTCGGTTTCTCACCACCCCCAACAAAAACTCTCTTTTTTTCCGTTTTCCCCTACGTGGCATCACTGGAAAAGTCACTCGAGACCGCAGGCAGAGCAAATGACGCCTCTATACAGATTCTTACCTATGCACGAACATTCGGGTATGCCTCCATAGAGACCCTGGATTAATAGCTGCATTCTGAATGATGTACCCTTAAAACTGTACTTTACACTGCAATATTTAGCCCTTACATCGATTGATGCGTAAGCCGTTTTAAGAAGCACCATAAGAAATCTTTTAACTTAGCACGTCCTTTTCCTTTTTATACCCTTGCAGAGGGTATTATAATTTTGGTCAGAAGTTTGTAACGCAGTGAAGGAGACGTTTCCGACCCTATAAAGTATATATATTCTTGATCAGGATCAATAGGGGAGTCGATATAGCTATGTCCGTCTGTCCGTCTGTTTCAATCGGCGATCGGACGTCTATATCCTATAGCTCCCATAGGAACAATATGGTAAAATCGGTCCAAATTTTATGTTTTTCAGAATATTTCGCGCTGTGTAAAAGCTATTGCTATAAATTTTTTCAAATCGTATTTTTTTATGCATTCCTTCATCAAGGTAAAAGCGCGTGCTGATCGGACGTCTATATCCTATAGCTCCCATAGGAACAATCGGATATAACTTTCAAGAATGGAAGATATTTCGCGCAGTGTAAAAGCTATTAACATAAATCTTTCCAAATCTTATTTTTTTATGCATACCTTGATCAGTTTAAAAGCGCTTGGCGATCGGACGTCTATATCCTATAGCTCCCATAGGAACAATACGGTGAAATCGGTTAAAATGTAATGATTTTTAGGTTATTTCGCACAGTATATAAGCAATTGACATGAATCTTTCCAAATCGTATTTTTTTATGCATACCTTGATCAGGGTAAAAGCGCGTGGCGATCGGACGTCTATATCCTATAGCTCCCATAGGAACAATAGGGTAAAATCGTTCCAAATTTTATGTTTTTCCGAATATTTCGCGCTGTGTAAAAGCTATTGCTATAAATTTTTTCAAATCGTATTTTTTTATGCATTCCTTCATCAAGGTAAAAGCTGATCGGACGTCTATATCCTACAGCTCCCATAGGAACAACAGTGTGAAATCGGTCCAAATGTGTTGGTTTTCTGAATTTTTTTTTAGTGTGTAAGCTACTGACATAAATTTTTCCAAGTCTTATTTATTTACGCATATCTTGATTAGGGTAAAAGCGCTTGCCGATCGGACGTCTATTTCTTATAGCTTCCGTAGGAAAAATAGTTAAAGGCTGCGAAAGTATCCCTTTTTTCTATTTTTATATGACATTTTTGCAGTATAAAAGCAACTGACATCAAACGACGCAAATCTAGTTTATTTATGTATACCTTATTCCTTTCGCTACTTTTTCAGTTTTAGCAATTTCGGCAAAGTCTGCAAGGGTATTAAAACTTCGGCTTGCCGAAGTTAGCTTCCGTCCTCGTTCAAATCTGTAATGATAAATCTAGTCGAGTTGATGAGCTATGAGTTATATATGAGTTCCTGCTTCGATCGAAACGTGGAAGACTCCATTGGACACAACCAAAGTGGTGAATATTTTAAATATATCAATCACGGCCTGAGTTTTTCTGAGCCGTTGGAAACTTGTCTACAATTAGCTTGGACACCAAGAAGTTCTGGGCTTGATCATTTTTTTTTTGGTCCCTTAAAATGATTTTCATTTGAATCGTCGCGTTCTCATTTAGTTCGGATTAACCACTTATGTGATTGATTTAAATGGCATAAATTAAAATACAGAGGTAAAATACATACAAAACAAAATACTAATTTCTTTCTAAATTAGATACAACTGATGCTTTTCAGAGTATGTAGTATAAATAATTTGGTAATGCATGACATAGTCTACAATGTTTTCAAATTATCCATATCCACATTCCCTTTTGCCCCAAAAAACTACACTTCTCATTTCTTCTTTCCTATCAGAATACAAGCAATATTGTTTGCCGGAGATTCTTAGCTCCGTAATTTATGCCGGGCTGGTACACAATTTAAAGGCTTGACCGTCAGCCCAAACGGGCAGGTTAAGTCTTGATTGCTGTTGACTCAAACCTCTTATCTGAATTACTAACTTTCGAAGAATAATAAAAACGAAATCCTAGTTATAAAATTATCGCTTCCCGGTTGTTTTTATTATACTGTGGGTTCATATATCCCACCATAATCACCATTTTAGGCACAAAGAAGTTAAGGCGAGCCAGTAACTCGGGACTATCAACATCTCCGTGAATAAGTTTACGAATAAAAGTAGTTCCAGCATCGTTCTTCAGTGGGATATATATGGTAAATTAGAGGGGAAAATATTTTTTTGCTTTATCTTAAAGAACAACTTCTTGAGAACGTTTCCCCAAATTTTCATAGAGATTTGAGCAGTAGAAAGAAAGTTACAGCGGTGCTAGCCGCGCGCCTCGTCCCCGCCCAAACCCAAATTTTAAACTTTAAACGAGAATATTTGAAATTGTGTTTTTTAAAAAATGACTTTGCGGTGATATGGATTGGCGAAAAATTACTGAACCGATTTTCTTAAAATTTTTTTCTAAATGTTCGTAATGAATTTTATGAGTACTTGAACGATTGATTTTTCATCTAAAAATTTTTATCTCGCCGAAATAGATACTTTTGTATGAATTCTAGCGTCCAAAAACTTCATTTTTTGTATAAAACGTATGACGAAAAAAAAATTTTTAAAACGTTCGGTCAGTACAGGATATTACTCTAAGCTAATGAAATATTTTTATTTTTACGGTTTCAGTTGACCCGTTCGTCCTGGGGAATTATCAGCGCCAAAAAAAGGCGTTTAGGGGGAACAGCCACCGTTAAAACAATATTAAATATTTTTTCACAAAAAATCTAACCTTTCAGAAAATATAATCATTCATTTAATAAAAAAAATTGTAACATACAAAAAAAAATCCAAACTTTCCTATTTTTTTCGACAAAAAAAGGTATATACCCCCTTAATTAGAAAAAAGTCTACTAGAGTCAGCTGCCAACAAATAGTTTTTGGATTCTTAGTGACCCAAACGAAGATGATGTTACCGTTTAACCGTCTAGCCTACTTTCCAAAATTATAAAAGAAACGAATTTAGATAATTTTTTCTAAATGGAAATGAGGCTCAGAAAAAGGGCAATAATATCGTTGGCTTGGGTCATGCAGGTTTGTATGCCAATAGTTTTTTTTGCACAGATTTGGATAGCGAGTCAAGTCGGACAACTTGCCATATGTTCTAATATTTAATTTTTATAGTAAGGTAACGTCTATATCATATAGCACCCATAGGAACAACCGGAAAACAAATTTTTAAAAGGTATAACCTTGCAGTTTTTTTTTTTTTTTCCTTGGGATTTGGTAAAATTTAAATACTATGAAATTAGGGGTTTAGTTATATTATATAATATATATATATTATTATTAAATCATATAGCTCCGATAGGAATATCCAAAAATTTAAAAAAAAAAAAGGAACGAACGAAAAATGTTATTTTGCTGTTTTTTTATTTATCAAAATATTCCTTAGAGATATAGTAATTATTTACTATATCATTGTTACGCTTTTAGTTTTCTCGAGATCGGACAACAATATCATTTAGCTGCCATTGAAACGATGGCAAAATGCAGCGTAAAATCGACATAGCTTCATTGTTTTTAGTAACATAGGTATAGAAATCCAAATGTAGTCGTTTTGTAATAACTGCAAGGGTATACAAACTTCGGCTTGCCAAAGTGTGCTTCCTATCTTGTTCAAGATATTTTACTTAATAGGAGATTAGTTTTCCTAAAAACTACGTGATTTTTAAGAGTCCAAAATAGGTCTTCTACAAAACTAATCGGATTCTCTTACTGGTAACATACAATCATGGAAGAATTTCCTGTAAAATGTAGTTAGCCAAAAATTATTAAGACGACATGCACAACTTTATTTTTGCAACCTTGAAGGCACTGTTACCTCCCTCCCTATGACGGATGTAATTTATTTGTTAGGCACAAAAATGTGCTATAAAGCACACAGAAACGGTGATTTTTATTCAATCAGCACAAATTAGCTGTCAAAGTCTTTTTTTTTTCTTGATCTGCCTTCCAAAAACAGCTTTCTTCTTATAGAGACGAAAAATTGTTAACAGGGACTCCGGGCCCATGATTATGTGTTAGCTCTCACATTCACGCAAGAAAACAAAATAGGTTTTACGATCTTTGATTGGCTCTGCCTAATTTGACTTGACTTACCTTTTTGGAAATATATCTTTCTATGTTTATTTGTTACTTACCTATTTTCCAAATTTTTTAAGGCCTCACGCTTTTTTGTATTTGTATCGGTCAGCTTCGAAACTAGTTCCTTCCGAACATTCTTATTCAACTTTTCGCAGTTTTCAGACGATGAGACCTTTAATTTATTAATCGCCAAGATAATACTTTGCTCTAACTGAAGTCTTTCGTTGTTGTAAGCTTCGAATTCTCGAACATGCACTAATTTACTATTCAGGCTTGTATAATTCTCCATTAAAGGAATCCTCAAGTTCTCGTAACTTTCCTTAAATTCTAAGTTTCCTTTTGCAAATCCTGTGACTTTACGGACAATATCCTTAATCTTGTTATCTATCTTTATTGCTTGGCGTATTAGTTCTGCATGGCTTTTCAGGCCGCACTCGACCAAACCTTCAACATAATTAAATTTATTTTTTCTTATTATTCTCTTTATAAGTTTTTACCAGCTTTTAAAATAATAATCAACCAAAAAGTCTCAAGCTTCATCCCGCTGCCTAAAGTTTTAAAATATGAATATTCTAGTTTCTTGTGGCAAACGTGAGACTATTATTAATTAATTCGTTTTAGTTAAGTACTTAAAATCTTACGATTTGTTTTGGTTAAATTGACTGAAAAATAATTAAAAATGACTATTGAAATTGTTACTAAAAATCCAGCGTTAGTTTTCGTGACCAACAAGCTAAAATTTTTCAGTCGATAGTAAACTGACAGTATAACAGTTATGTGTATTATGTGTCACCTTACACATAAATAATCGCCATAAAGCGGTATAGTCAGTATGACAGATATATGGCATTTGATATATTCCAAAATATAATATTTTAAAACATAATTTAAGCACTTTTAAATCAGATATACTAAATGGAAATTGTGTGGAAAGAACAATTTTTCTAGTTGAATAATGAGAAGTACTTAATTTATGCTATGAAAATATATAATTAACAAGGAGAAAAGAAAACTTCATCAAGCCGAAGTATATATATACCCTTTAAATTATTACAAGATGACTACATTTCGATTATTATGCTTACAAAAAATCAAGAAAGAAAAGCTAACTTCGGGCGGATCCGAAGTTGATATATCCTTGCAGAATATTCTGTAAATTATATTCTCCAAAACTATTCATATGATGGATTCTTAATACTCATAAAAAATCCCAACTTCTTAACTTTAAAAACACCAAAGTTATGGCATTTCCAATCGTTCAGTTATATGTCAGCTGTAGTTATAGTCGGCCGATCGAATTGATTGTCCAAAAATAAAACCCATAGAAAATCCCAACTTCCTAACTTTACAAACACCAAAGTTATGGCATTTCTGATCAATCATTTATATGGCGGCTATAGGATATAGTCGACCGATCCCGGCCGCTCCGACCTATATACTGCGTGCAAAGGCATGAAGGGTGTGTGGAAAGTTTCAATTTGATATCTTTAAAACTGAGAGACTAGTTTTTTGTAGAAACAGACAGACGGACAGCAGACGGACAGACGGACATGCTTATATCAACTCAGGATGCGATCCTGATCAAGAATATATATACTTTATAGGGTCGAGGATGTCTCCTTCACTGCGTTGCAAAGTTTTGACTAAAATTATAATAACCTCTGCAAGGGCATAAAAATCAATGGGAAAATCAAAATAACTATAACTATATATATTTAAAATCTTCCTTCTAATAATAACAACCAGGGCTATAATAATAATAACAAAAATAATAGCTGAAATAAAAGCGGTTGGAAAAATCAAAAAAACCGGTTATGCTAAGAAATCAGCCAACTCACCCACAATTAAAATGGGAACCAACCGGTTCACTTAATCAACCAGTAAATAAAGCTATGCGAGTAAATAATATCGAAGGTTACCATTTTTTAGGCAATACTCCGGAGTAGGGCTACACTACATCATGGAAACAGATAAAAAACAAATAAAAATGTAAAAATCTCGATAGGAGCAACTTCTTGCTAGATACAAAACATTATTTATACTTAATAACAAGAGAGAACGCTATAGTCGGGTGCCCCGACTATCAGATACCCGTTACTCAGGTAAAGGGAGTGCGAGGGAGATGGAGATTGAAACTTTGATCACGCATAACTTTTTAACGAATGGTCCGATTTGAAAAATTTCTTCTACATTTCGATAGGTATTGATAAACACAATAAAACTGCATTTTTACTTTTCCGAAATATTTAAATTTTTAAAATCGTATCTAAGCGATTGTGGGCGTTAATGGGGGCGTGGCACCATTTTGAAACAAACTTGCGCTGCGTAAATGCCAATCTTCTAGCTTTTATAGTTTCCGAGATCTCAGCGTTCATACGGACAGACAGACAGACACACAGACGGACAGACAGACGGACAGACAGACGGACAGACGGACATGGCTAAATCGACTCGGCTAGTGATCCTGATCAAGAATATATATACTTTATAGGGTCGGAAACGCTTCCTTCTAGCTGTTACATACTTTTGCACGAATAATAATATACCCTTTTACTCTACGAGTAACGGGTATAAAAATGAGCTTCCAATTTATAAAAGAGCATCATAAGTTAATGGATATTAAATAATAAAATGTTATCATATAATAACTATATTTTATACTAAACATATTTTTTATGAAATCGAAGGGTGAAATTAGGGTGAATATAATCTATGGAAAAAATAAACGCTAATATAGCTACAGGAAAAGGATAATCAGACTTAAGAGGACGCCCCCCATTCTCGGTTAAAAAAAATAAATTTTTTTCATTTAATTCGAACTTATTCAAGAATGTTCCTTTAAAATTTGAAGTGAAAATTTCAAAAACTTTTGAAATATAGCCGATTTTTAGAGAAGGCGTCAGGCGACGGCGAGAGCTTCTCAAAACTTTAAACGCGTTTTTCTCGAAACAGTGTTTTACGACTGGCGCATAAGGTTACCCAAAAACTATAAACCCAATCGGTTCCACATTTTAATACTATATTCTATACATATATAGATATAGCATGATCTAGGATAAATGAAATCGGTGAAGATCTTCTTTACTTTTCAACTTGATGTGTGGCTGAAAAGAAGGCGATTTTCAAAAAAAAATGTGCAAAGGTGCGCCATTTTGTTAATTTTTGTCCGTGTACTCTTCTTAATTTTTGGTTTAAGGTGTTCCTTTTAGCGGAAATCCCATGCGAATGACAAAAAAAAAACAAAAAAAATAGTTTTAAATTTTTTTCTTATTTTTTAAGTCTTTAAATAAATGAAAGTTACAAGCCTAAAGAATAATATATGTACATTTACCAGCCCATTGAAAATCGTCAAAATTTTAAATCGAGAATGGGGGTCCCCTTAATCTTAAAGAAGAAAAACTTGTATTCGGCAATCAAAATGGGGCAAATATAATCTCATTGATGGGAAAAAAATGTTTTCCCTTTGAAAGAAATTATGGTTTAAAAACATTACGATGAAAAAATAAGTACGAACGTAAATCATTGCTAGCAGAAGAATATATGTATGTATATATAAAAATCCTGAGAGAACCGACAAAGAAACTTCCGTCAAAAACGAAATAAATAACAAGCATTATATAAACTTTGAGAAAAACTAACCTAGGTATTTAAATGACGATTCACATTTTTATACCCTTGCAGACAGTATTATAATTTCAGTCAAAAGTTTGCAACGCAGTGAAGGCGACATTTCCGACCCTATAAAGTATATGTATTCTTGATCAGCATCACCTTGGAGAGTAGATCTAGCCATGTACGTCTGTCCGTCTGTGTGTTCGTCTCTCCGTCCGTTTCTACGCAAACTATTCCCTCAATTGTAAAGCTATCTTCTTGAAACTTTCCCAAAAGTTGTCTTTCTACCATATACAGTCATGGAAAAAATAATAGAAACGACAATTTTTTTTCGTATTTTTCAAACTTTTCTTCAGTCAATTTTTTTTTTTTTTAAGTTTAATAATTTTGTCTGATAGTCGATTCAATTATGTGTCAAAATGTACCAAAACAAAAAACGTTATGAACTAAAAAATAATTTTTAAAATTTTTAGGCCTGGAAAAAATAATAGAAACGACTGAGTTAATTCTATGAAAAACAGTTTTGTAGCTTCAAAGCCTATTAGTTTAGATGGTAACTTTAATATATAGTTGTGCCACCGCTATTTTTAATGACTTTGGTTCAGCGGTGTCCCATTGAATCCACCAAATTGGCACAAATTGATGGTTCAATGGAGTACCACTCAGAATTCACTTTATTTAACAAATCTTCCCTAGTTTTGGACTTAAACCCACCAAGCCTCTTCTTTATTATCCCCCAAATGTGCTCTATAGGATTTAAGTTTTTTATTAACAATTTTTGAGATTTTTTGATTTACTTTTAAATTTAATCATTTCATTTTATTTTCTGGTCTTGGATCTAACTATAATTATTTAAATTTCAAGAACAATTTTCGAATGAGAATGAATTAGTTTATTTTGTTATCATAAGGATCATCGAATTCTTTTGACCACCTTTTAATAAATCCAAGCACTCCTTTGACTTAATTAACGAAATGTGATTAGAAAATTTTAGTTTAGGGTCCTAAGGAACGCCAGGATCGTTTTCAAGAGCTATTCTATCCAAAGAGCTGTCACTTTACCTTTAAGTCGCGTATATCGGATTGACCCGATAAAAAGTCATCAGCTTGCACTTGTATGCGTTTAAATTTAGTAAATTATCTCGGCACCAGTTTTGAAAATGATCTAGATCGGATTGCAAGTCTAAATGGCAGGAAATATCCTTATACTGCAGGCATAACTTAACATCATGTGCGTACATAAGTACGCGAGAATGAATTAATTGAGGAAAGATCGTTAATAAATAATGTAAAAAGTAGCGGAACAAGATGGTTTCCTTGTGGGACACCGAAAGTAACATGGAGAATTTTAGAAATTGAATTTTTGAAAAGGACACAAACCTTCTAGAGCTTACTACATTTCCGATAAAAGGCTTCAATAGTAGTTTTCAAATAGACGCCACTTACACTGACTTTAGTAAAGCATTTGACTCTGTAAATCACTCACTTCTTGTTCAAAAACTTGACCTGTTAGGTTTTCCAGTTGATCTCCTTATATAGATTTTAAGTTACTTAAATGGCAGGACACAAAGGGTACTTTTCAAAAATTCAATTTCTAAAATTATGGCTCCCATATGGAAATAAAAAAATTTTTAAAAATAATTATGAACAAATATGTTATTTTGCTGTTTTTTTTCTATTTATCAAAATATTTTTGAGATTTAGTAAATATTTACTATACCAAAAATACGCCATTAGTTTTGTCAAAATCGGACTACAACATCATACAGCTGTAATAGATACGATCACAAAATGCAGCGCAAATTCGACATAGCTTCATTGATTTTATTAATATAGGCATAGAAATTGAAATGTAGTCGATTTGTAATAACTGCAAGGGTATATAAACTTCGCCTTGCCGAAGGCATTGCCCTGTGAATTCTTCACAAG